GGGGGGGGGGGAGGGGATGGGGGGAGACAGCCTATTAATTTGTCAACTCCCAGTCCACTAACATTACCACCACTCCCTGTTGGTTCGGTTTCTCTACCCCTACCAACACCACCAGGGGCTTCCACCCTTCCATCTCTATCACTATCACAGGCTGATTCTACCCGTCCACCCTTACCACCATTCCTAGGGGGTAAAACTCTTCCGCTGCCACTGCTAGAGGTATCACGTGCACCACCACCGCTACAGTTTTTCAGCAATGTGATTTCCAGGAGGATTTACTCCGCCTTAACCACCACTACAGAGAGGACCTACTTTTCCACGACACCGCTCCCAGAATTTTCAATTCCCCCGCCTCCAACACCAATGCCTTGGGGCTGAAATCCTCGTTCCCCACCGCCTCCATCACTCATGGGAGTCTCTACTCCTCCTCAAGCATCGCCAGCGCCACCATAAAATTAAATTCAGTGGTAAGACTACTTGGCACAAAATGCACTTCCAAGAGAAACTAACTCTTTTAAAGTTTCAAAAATTTTCTCCTTTGATAGCAAATAATTATTCTAATGTATGGAATAAGTCGATACTAAAGACTGGAGGTATGAAATAAATGCTGCAATAAAGGACTAGAATCTATTTTTGCTTAAAATAGCTTCATTTTACCTTAACTGTTACACTACCTAGGAAAACGTTCAAACTGACACAATGAATACATTTGACTATACAGTTTCGGAAGTTTGAGTTATGAATCATGTAGTTTACAGTCGAGGCCTACCCTGGGACGCTTTTATTTGCTAATATTTACATACGGTAGTCCTTGCTCTTCCCGTGTCTATTAACTAAAATTTGCCGAATTTTACTAAGTATTTTTTTCTGGTGGCTTCATCCATGATCACCGTCGCTACGATATCCCCTTCTTCATTGGCTGATGTTTCCTGAACAGTGGCCTCGTGGTACAGCCAACTAAATCCAGCAAACAAACAAAAAGGTATGTTTATTACGTACCACAGACAGGCCAGCTGACAATCGGTTTAACACAGGAAGCTCTGTTAACTAGTTAATCTTTCCTGCATTTACGATTTACATTCTATGGACAAATATTCTTCTAAAATATCTTGCAATAACGTTTGAAACTGGAGCTGGATAACATGACAGTAAATACATGCAATGTCCTGGTTAAAGGCGCTTTAACTTATAATAGAATCGGATTCTAATTTAAAGCCCATGAGTACCCTGCCAAGATTCCTAAGCGGTGGAACAGATCACTATATGCAAGTGCATTTAGATTATGTGAGTTTCTTTCTTTTCTTTTTTCTCTGGTGTAAAAATCGTTTAAAAAATACGATCCACAAATAGTCGCCGACTCTGGTTCTTTCTGCAACAGCAGGAGCTCCGCTATAAACATCTAAGTACGCGAACTGCTTACAGTTGATTTTAATAACAGAAATAGCAGGTACCAGTGTGTATTATTCGGTATACAGAAATTCAATTGACAGATAAGTATCTTGGGCAGGCCATTCTAAAAAGTCCATTAAAGAAATCACATTTATAATATATGAATGCTGGACTCCAATTACCAACTCAGCGCCCAACACAACTACAGTCATGATCTACTCTATTTTCTTTGCAACTGGCTTCTGGTGCAACAACTTTGACAACGTTGATCAGTACTTTAATCAAAAGCTTATTTGTGAGATTGAAATAAAAGTTCATACCGAATAATTAGCCAAAACATTTCATATTCGAACAAAGATGCAGAACGAAATCTTTACCACAATAGGATTTTCGATCACGTTTCTCAACGGCGAACTTCCAATTTACCTTTACTACAATTTTACAAAAACCTTACCCTCATGGGTCTTTACATTTCATGCAAAACTCATTTTTAAAAATGCCATATCAACCATCACTTGATTTGATTAGCTGTGAATTTGGCGACAAGGGCATCACTTACAGCTGTATGTGACATAATAATTCGTTGAGTAGCCTTCATATAACTCACCTGAGCTGTGGTCCATCAGGAGGAATCACAAGTCTTTTTATCTCTTTCCCCGTGGATGCAATGATACCTTCTTCAATCAAGCCACGCAGCTTGTTGAGTCCAGTTTTGTTCGAAGCTGAGATTTGTGTACGGTTATTACTCTGCGCTCCATATTGCATGTGTAAAGGTTCTTCATCACTAAAATGAAGAAACAAAAAAATAGCATTACCCTTTGCTAGTAGCAAAAAAAGAGAAACTATTAAATTTTAACCTCTTTTACATTGTGCGAAAGAAAGTTTGCCTACATGTAATTACAAGGAAAAAAGAGAGATGAGAGTGCCCTTCTGACCTGATGACACTTTGCACAAGATGCCATCCATGACAGTGTGTTTTCTTTTAATGACGGGGTGTCCTTTGTACTCGGGTGTCTGTGTAGTGGTGTTTGACTATATTCAGAAACGCTTACTCCATAGCTACTCATGCATGACTCGGTTTGGCATTTACATACATGTACATAAGTATATAAACAGAAATAACGGAGAAGTTGGAGATAAAACGTCCGAAAGCAGTCTGGGGACCAAAATGCATTTATTATATACAATGTATGGCTTTGAGTGGACGGTCGAAAAAAATAATAAAAAAATGCTACTATGGACACAGCCGATGCTTTTTTGGTTGAAAAGATAAAGGAACTCTTTAGACAGAGTTCAAGTGAGTGGGTGGGAGGAGGGGGGGTGCTGTAACTAGGAATCTTACAGTACACTTGACTACATGAGGTGNAGGATTTTCGATCACGTTTCTCAACGGCGAACTTCCAATTTACCTTTACTACAATTTTACAAAAACCTTACCCTCATGGGTCTTTACATTTCATGCAAAACTCATTTTTAAAAATGCCATATCAACCATCACTTGATTTGATTAGCTGTGAATTTGGCGACAAGGGCATCACTTACAGCTGTATGTGACATAATAATTCGTTGAGTAGCCTTCATATAACTCACCTGAGCTGTGGTCCATCAGGAGGAATCACAAGTCTTTTTATCTCTTTCCCCGTGGATGCAATGATACCTTCTTCAATCAAGCCACGCAGCTTGTTGAGTCCAGTTTTCTTCGAAGCTGAGATTTGTGTACGGTTATTACTCTGCGCTCCATATTGCATGTGTAAAGGTTCTTCATCACTAAAATGAAGAAACAAAAAAATAGCATTACCCTTTGCTAGTAGCAAAAAAAGAGAAACTATTAAATTTTAACCTCTTTTACATTGTGCGAAAGAAAGTTTGCCTACATGTAATTACAAGGAAAAAAGAGAGATGAGAGTGCCCTTCTGACCTGATGACACTTTGTACAAGATGCCATCCATGACAGTGTGTTTTCTTTTAATGACGGGGTGTCCTTTGTACTCGGGTGTCTGTGTAGTGGTGTTTGACTATATTCAGAAACGCTTACTCCATAGCTACTCATGCATGACTCGGTTTGGCATATACATACATGTACATAAGTATATAAACAGAAATAACGGAGAAGTTGGAGATAAAACGTCCGAAAGCAGTCTGGGGACCAAAATGCATTTATTATATACAATGTATGGCTTTGAGTGGACGGTCGAAAAAAATAATAAAAAAATGCTACTATGGACACAGCCGATGCTTTTTTGGTTGAAAAGATAAAGGAACTCTTTAGACAGAGTTCAAGTGAGTGGGTGGGAGGAGGGGGGGTGCTGTAACTAGGAATCTTACAGTACACTTGACTACATGAGGTGAAGCTGGCTCTGCTATTGTTCACAGGGGTAATATAACATAATTATTATAAAATAACTAAGATAGTACGCGCGCTCTGGGAGTGTTTGCATGAGAGTATGTAAACATAGTTGTGGCGTTAAGATGTTTTGCTTTTCGCGCGCTAATCACGCAAGCACGAATTTGAAAAAGTTTTCAAGTTCAAAACTTGACAAGTTTACTTTATTTACCCATTCCTTCGTCGGCTGAAACTTGGAAAATCGTTACAAAGAAAGTGTGTCAATTTTTTTTCGCTGAAGCTGACATTTTAAGCGAGAAAAGTCCGTATTTTGGAAAGCGTCTTTTTGCAAAACAAGAACTGATTACGCGTGCAAGACTTCGTGGAACCTTCGTGGACAAGACTTTGCAACTGGTAAGAATTTCTCTTTTAATCAGTTCCAAATCGACAGTCATGCAAACCCTCGACTTCGTCTCGGGTTCGCATAACTGTCTCGAATTCTCCCAACCCCTCTCGTGTTTATATCAGCCTATGCAACAACGGAAAACGTTTTCTATTGCTTAAATATGTGAGTTTTCGTTGATGCTGCCTTTTTACACAGGGTTCTACTCAAACTAGCCATACTAAAAACAGTCTGTGTATATAGCTGATTCAATAAAGGTTGCTTTGGGCATTGGGAATTGGGCAATAAGAAGCTATTGTTTGGTGGTCACTCAGGCTAATTGTTGCATTGTTTGGTATGCCCAAATGCCCAATACCAATCTTCAATTCCCAATGCCCAAAGCAACCTTTATTGAATCAGCTGTAAAAAAATGTCTGTGTAGAGTTGAACGCAGATAAGTTGACTTTCGTCTTTCAGTGAGGAACTTGTCTCGCTAGTTACCGCAGAGCATACCAAAGATCAGCCTTATTAAGTGCTTCTATCATGTTCTCCATTAAGGGTGCTTTCAGGCTCAGCTGTTTTTCCAGGATTGTTAATACATCTTCTAACTGAGAATCACATTCAGGATGGCTGATGTCACGAACATGGACAACTAAATCCTGAAAACAAAGGCAATATAGATATCATGTTTTGTGAACAAAATATGTTCTCTTCGCTTACTGCTGCAGTTTTACAAGGACTGATAAATAGGAGACACCTACAGAGTCGGCAATATCCTCCAGTGTTGCTGAAAATGACTCAACCAGTTCAGGTGGCAAGTCTGAAACAAATCCCACAGTGTCTAAATACAGCACAGTCATCCCAGATGGAAGTTTTCCTGGATGTCCTGTGACATCAAGAGTTGCAAAGAGCTTGTTTTCAGGGTACATCTTTGCTTCACCAGTCAAGGCTTTAATCAGTGTTGTTTTACCTGCAACAGTTTAAAAATCAAAGAAATCTGTACATGGCACTTGTTATTAGATTTGATTATTATAAAAGGAGCAAGTACCAGGCAAGACCAGAGGTTTCACGAAATAGGTGTGACCGGGCACAGTCAGGATTTCGTACATTAAATGCTTAGCTAATGCTTAACCGTTTAACGGCAAAATCCGTTTACTAACTGTTTACCATCCACTTAAAACGGATCATTGATCGTCCAAACACTTTCCTTATCCGTTTACAAGAAACTTGAATCCGTTTAACGTTTTAAACAAACCATTTAAACGGTTCATCTATTTGTCTAAAAAACGCATCCGTTAAACGTTTTGGGCAAAACGTTTAAATGGTGGGCTTACCCGTTTAAGGACAACTTGCACCCCTTTAACAGCCTTTTAACAAGTTGGTTTAAACGTTAAAACAAGACTTAAGAGTTTCAAGACCAGAGTTTCGAGTCGGAGAAAAATGTGATATTCGCTTGTCACTTGACTGGTCTCTCGAGCAATAAAATCGACTAACGATCCGCACTCTTTCTCGCTCACCGCCGTGATGAAACAACTTAAGTTTGCGCTTTTGGTGTAAGAATTCGTAATACGTCATCCTTACAGCAGCCACAATCAACTGTTTATTCAACGTGTTGAAAGTTGGGCTTTGAAAGCAAAAGGTACTTAAAAAGCTGGGAAATAAGAAAAGTGTATAGAGAGTTTTCACATGACGTCAAGGCGGCCATATTGGTGTTCCAAAACAATGAAACGGCGGCCATGTTGTTGTACCAAGACAATTCTTTGAGTTTTAAAATTGTAAATTGTAACTTGGTTACCCACGGAGCACTGAGGAGTTCTTAAGAACGTGTCTGTGCTTTCCAGATCGAATTGGAATTAGGAAATGTTCAGGGTTTTTAAAGAACAGGGAGAACCGGAGTACTCGGAGAAAAACCTCTCAGGAGTAGGGTAGAGAAAAACCTCTCAGGAGCAGGGTAGAGAGCCGTGAACAAATTTAACCCAGATATGGCATCGACGACAGGACTCAAGCCCGGGCCACATTGGCGGGAGGCAAGTGCTCTTGACACTGCGTCACCCTTGCCCTTTTTCTTTTTTAAAGGCTGTCTTTTGTTCCAACCAATACCTTAGATTCTGGGCATATGATTGAAAACGCTCAGTTCTCATTCGCTTCTTTGTGACTTTCGCGAGTGCAGTTGAAGTCTCTCCTGTGAAAACGACTTTGAATAAAATAATTTAACTTCACTAAGACTTATGACTTTCTGAGTGCATTGCCCTTTATAGAGACGAATGTAATTCGCTTTTGTTAAAAGTTGACTTTTACGAAAAGTAAGAGGTTTTGAAGTGAACGTGACATATGCATATTCCATACTCTTTTTTGTACCCATTTTGCAAGGGTTGTTAAAAGCTCGTTACCCAAGGATGAAGCCAAATGATGCAACTTTAAGGCGACCAACATCACTTCATTTATACCCAGTCCGTGAAATGAGTAATTTGAAACCCGCGTTTACCGTCACTGTACTATTAAAATATACTATTAAACTGAGGTTAATTAGAACGGGGAAGGAGTGGGCTAAAATAAAGAAAAGATGAGCTAGCATTTCCTTCCCGGTTCACAAACTTGAAGCGATAAAAGTGGTTATAAAAATTTGTTAGGGTGAAAACGCTTCTGTGTGACTTTAAAATTTAAATATTGATCATTTGAAAGAGTGGGGTATTGTTTTAAACAGCGTATACAGATAGATAGATAGATAGATAGATAGATAGATAGACAGACAGACAGACAGACAGACAGACAGACAGACAGACAGACAGACAGGGCCCCCTTCCTGAAAGGCCGATTAGCGTTAATCCAGGATCAAAATTTTGTTTCGTTTTTGTATTTTATGTTCCTTTGCATTTCTGTTATCATTACTCTATCTCGTATTAAAGGCTCAACAGTATTTTGTAACCTCGAGTTGCATGTTCTTAGACGAGAAAACCGTGCTTGAAATTTGTCTTAATCCTGGGTTAAACTTAACCATCTTTCGAGGAACTGGAACCAGATAGATAGATAGTTTAATTACCAATACTTTGCAGCGCAAAGCCTGAAGTGCGTATTTACAAATGATTCAATTGATAAATTGCTCTATCGTTTAACGCTTTTGGTTATCCGTTTAATCGGATAAGGACACCTTTTAAATGCTCTAATTTCCCGTTTACTATCCCTAAACAATCTGCTTATTTTTACTCGTTTTAACCTGCAAAGCGTTAGAGTGCGAAATCCTGTGTCCAGTTACAAATGTCCAGCTTAGTCTGAAGCACTACAAACTCAGTGTATTTACTAAACTATGCATGTAATCTGTACTAATGTAGCTGCATCAACACTGAACAGTATTGCGGATCTTTACCTGCATTAGTATATCCTACAACTGCTATTATTGGAACATGCCTCTTATGTCGTTCATGTCTAACATGGTCACGATGTTTCTTGATAGACTGTAACTTCTTTTTCAGCTTCTGTTCTCGCTCAAACAATATCCTTTTCTCTTTCTCGAGATCAGTTTCCCCTGCTCCACCAATAGCATGTGTTCCACCCCTTTGCTGATCATAATTACTATTCACTTCTCCTCCTGCATGTACCAGTCTGGATCTGAAATTAAAATTAAAATAAAATAAATATAAAAGCTCTAAGATTACTAAGATTGCAATGCTTTAAGTGCCCACCTCTTGTACACATACAGTGTAGCTATCATAACCTTATTTCTTTATTGTGAAGTTAAAGTGTACATGGACTAAAACCTTGAGGAACTCGTGAATTTTATCCTTGTCCAATGATGCTTATGGGACAAAGACTATATTTATTATTATTTATGACATCTTTCTGTTTAAAATTCAGCAGCCTTTGACATTGATGACCCTACCAGTATGCTGGACACATGTCACATATGAAACTCAGTAGTCAAAAATGACCTTGCAATCCAAGACTCTCTCTGAAGTACAGTTGAATGGAGCACAAACCCAGTGTTTGGGTCACCTGATTGGTTAAAATCCCTTTGCTAACTCACAATTCTTTTCTGTTTGTCTCATGCTTGTGGCATGACAATATTTTACTGTGATGTCCCAAAACAACTTTTCTTGAATTTTGGCCATCCAAAAACTGCTTTTTCCCAAATGAAATGAACCAAAAACTGGGAAAGAGTAAAAGATCAAAGAAAGACTGATGATGTCATGTGACGTCAGTTATACGTAGTTTACTTAGCCTTCTCCTCCGATTCTGGTCATTGCTTTAAGGAATTAAGCCGTGTAACTGACTGTAAAGAAGGTATAGTGAAGTCAATGAAGTTCTGAAGATGACTGAGGAGTCTTCGAAGATGACAATCCTTCCTATTTGCCACATCTCATTAAATTATTCTACATTTTTGCAAATCAGTCTACATCATACTTGTCAATTAGGCCACACAAATAGGGCGAACACTTTTGAAGGCAAAAATCTGCATGTTTTGAAGACGAATAATGGTTGTGCAAGATTATAGACAAGTTTAAATTTCAGATACATATTTTACACATATGGTAGAACAAGAAACTACAAAAAGAAATTCACGTCACATACATAAACTTTAAGAAATTTTTCTCTCTCATACATAAAACATTTCTTTTTCTTAAGGGGAGACCGCTTGAAGTACTAGAAAGAAGTCCTTAACAAAGGATTTGTTTGAATTTTTCTCTTAAGATAAGAAATCTTAATTTATGCCTCAGTCAATTGAAACTCCGGCCCCTCAACCTCCACAACTTGGGAGGGAATTTAACGTTGGCCGTGTGTTAAAACACCACTAATTTCCAGGCTCACCGGACCAAACAGTTTGTTAAAAGCCCCGTATAGCAAGGCATTATTAGTTGACCACAAAGCGACCTTTCAAATGCGCATTTGATCGTTTATATGTTAATTTGCGCAATACCAAATAATAAACATTATTATTTTATAAACAATAAACACGATTCAGTTCAAATTTACAGTATTTGCTGGTCTAAACTGTACTTGTTCCCAAATTCAACTATATTTTCAACTACACTTACAACTGCAGTGAAATTGGACATCTTTTTATGGCTTACATTCAAATTTGATCATGGTGTACACACATCAGGCCAAGGACCACTAGGGAAAGACCAGGGTCAGGAAATCCACCCTTAAGGCCTGAAACAGTGACTTGGTTTGTAACAGTGCCATGGAACTAATTCTGGTTATTTTGAAAATGGTATCTGGGTATACACTGGCCACCTTCCTTCATGGGAGGTGCACAGCAAATCAGAGCCGCACGATGTTCACATGGTGATGTGCATGTCCCAATTGTTGTTGCCTTTATTTGAAAAGTTACTGCGTTTATACCTCCCTATACTTGCATGCACTTACATTTTCCATGTACCTATAAAAACACCTCTTACTTAATCAGAACACTGCTTATCACTGTTTCTGAAGTAAAAAAATATACAGTTCCTTTGAAAGGACAAAGAACACGTAAAAATATCAACTTGTTAAAATTTGTCAAAACTGCATGGAACTTTTAACCATGAATTACCAAGTCTATGTTTTTTGCTAAGATATTAATAAAAATAGTAAACTGCAATGGAGTGATTTCATCAGTTTCCATGGTGGTCACCCACATCTTATGAAGTGAAATGTAACAGTGACAGTTTTCAACTTCTGATTTCACAAACTGGACTTCAAAGTTTTTGTACTCCGTAACTGCTTTTTTTGGTCCCAGCCAATACTTTATATTGTTCCCTGAATAGTCAAAATCTCCAGCTGAATTTGAAAAATACTCCCGTTCAACTTTGGTCCAAGATATTAGAGAGAGATAGAATCACATTTGCAGCTTACGACAAATGCCAATTTATACAACGTGACTAAGCTTCCCCTTAGCTTGTTGTTCACTGTTCATTTTAACAACACAAATAAATTAGTAGGTTCATGCCTGTTTCATCCACAAAAATCAAAGTTTTTATCTGCTCATTTCTTTTGGTACTTCATGTTAAATCCCCGTAGCTGTCCCCACTTCCCAAATGCGTGCCTGTTAAATCCCCGCTCATGACCCAGGTGGAACAGGCATCTTGTTAATTCCACCGCCCCCAAGGGTCAACATGTTGTTAAATGTGTGTTAAATCCCTACATTGGCCATGTTAAATCCCCTCTATCTCATGTTATGCCGCGGGGGTCAGGGGGCCGGGGTTTCAATTGACTGACACATTAAGAGGGTTTTCCTTTATATAAATTTAATGTAAATGAACTGGATATAGTCCTTTACCTAATGTAAGGTATTTCAGCTAATTCAACTTGTATCTTAGCTTCTGCAGTTTTTGCTCTTTCTTTGAATATCTGCAGCACTACGCCAAATCTGTCGAATACCTTAACTTCCCAAAGGTCTTCCAGCTCTTTATGTTGCCGAGGACTCAGCTTAGCAACGTCAATAAACACGCTGTCGAATGAAGAAGCTGAATTTCTCATTTCTTGAAACTGCTCGGTTAACTCCTCAACCTTCCCTTTCCCGAAGAACGTTTTACCGTCTGGCTTTCGGACAGGTTCAACACTTTTGCCGGCGACTATCCAGTTTTCAATCGCATCAACTAACCCACAGGCTTCGTCCAATCTATGTTCACTGGTAACATTTCGAAAGCGGTGACGACCCCATTTGAAATCAGGCTCTAGTATAAATACTTCATGGCCTTTCTTAGCGTCTTTCTCATTGCCATGGTAATGATGACGGGCTCGAAGTTTGCGCAAAATTTCCTTGCTTTCTGGGTGTTCGTCCTCCAAATCGTGTGAAGATGAAGCGTGACTTTTCTTCGAGAAGCACCTAGTAGTAATAACAGCTGACGACATGACTTCTGAGCTCAACCCGAGATTTCTCTGACATAGGGCTGTGGTAAGCGAACGGAAAAATCCTGTTCCTTTTTCACAAACAATGAAATGGCTTTTACCGAGACAAGCTAATCTCAAAGTATTCATGATTTTGCAGGCACATACAGTACAATACAGGTTTCAAAACATTTCAATCCGTCTATATGTGCAAGGCGTTATCAAAGACATGAACCAGGAAAGAAAACTGGGTACAAATGTAGGAACGACAATCAAACTGATCAGCAGTTTTTTCTGGTGAGCAGCGTCTGCGCATAATTTTTTTGCAATGAACTCTGACGTAGACGAATGCAGTCACATTTTCCAATATGGCGTGATTGCTGGAATCAAAACAGTGTTAGTCAGTTGTCTACAAATTCATGAACTTGAGGCTTTATTTATGTGGGTAGTATCAAACATTGGAAATTTGGTAACATGGATAAAAACACGATTTGCTTTTCTAACACTTGTGAGGTAAGTTATCATTATAATGGCAGCTCACGCCTTAAATAAAGCAGTACGAACACGAAGTTGAAATTGATGTGTCTGACACCTAAATTAAGATACTTTTAAGTCTCTTTTATCCTTAAAAAAACAAATGCAAAAGTGAGGGAATACAAATCAGGCAGCTGTAGCTGACTTATTAAAGAGGGGTTTTATCTCCTGTGTTGTTCAATGAATGAATGAGGGACAACATACGTGTCCTCTTTACTTTATAGGTATATATTAACCCTCGGACGTACATGAGGGGTTTTTCCTAGAGGATGAAACATCAGTACCTGACGTTTTCAGTAGCTGTTGATTCATCCCTTGTGCACATTTTGAGACAAGTTTAGTGATGGTCAGCTGCTCTGGTTACGAGATAAGACAAGACGGCTGCCTAACGGGAGCACGAACACCAGAGGCCCCTACGATTTACTCTCGGGCGACCAAAATTTCAAACAGGGAGCGCGAATGGGCTAACGTCCAGTGAACAAACAACAAAATTCCAGATGCTCATTCTGTGCTTTGAAACAACAATGGAAAATGTTTGATAGTCGACCATAGGCAAAAAATATCTCCGCCGATAAATGGTAAACACACAGCACTATGTCTTGAAATTTGCTTCTGTGACTTCAGCTGCAGAGCAGTTGAAGTTTGTTGTCTGAAATTAGCGTCGAATGAATTTAATGGTCTTCTTAAAAATACTTCGATAATGAAATCACGACTTTTCCTTCAGCATTAGAAATGGGAGGTTGCTACTGCATGAAGTAAAAACTGATAAAAAGTCGTGATCTGTGGAAAAGTAAGCTGGTTTCAAATTACACGTGACATCGTTGGTTTCAGTATGCTATTAAATTTTGCAAGTTTGTAGTGTTTTCTATCTTGCTATAAACATGAATGATACACTCAGAGGTTTCTTTTATTATTATTTTATTCAGCATTATCTACAATGTAGGCCTCCCTATTTTTTGCTGTATGTTTTGTGGTAACTTTCAAAAAACTGGCAAAAACATTTCAGTTTTTGAAAGCGGCTATTTAAGATCATATTTCAACCTTTTTTTGATTTACGCAGTCGTGTGCGATGAACGTAAATACAAACCTTCACAAATAATATATAAACAGTTCAAAGTTGATAGTTCAAAAGATAGACTTGATCCAAAAAAACTGAGTTAATTCTCTAAACTTCCAGATAAAAACCTTTCTTTGGTCCTTTTTTATCGCCTAAAAACTTAACACGCAAGTGCTGTTGGTCGGTGCGAGTGGTCTTTGTTTATATCTTTCTCGAGAAATAAATCATTTCTCAAAATCCTTTCAAGTGGCAAATATAAAAAATGCTGGTTTCTCAAAACTCAAGACTTGGTTTTTGCATCTCTAAATTTGATTTGTTCGTGGCTCGAGTATTGTTCGGGTTTTGTCTTGTGACACAACTCTCCTTAACCCTTCCCGAGTAATCTAGGAAGATTGAGGGGCCTCTACTTTCAGGGTATAAATTGATAAACAACATCTTCTTCAAAGATAGATCTTTCCAGTGAATCCTGTCAGAGTTACAAGGAGAAAGATCGAAATAGATTCGCAAAAAAAGGACCAAATTTTTGCTTTTGTGCTAGCATGAAAAACAAATAAGATGTTTAATTACATCAGATTAGTCGGAAAAATATGCCTTTTTTCTAGCAAAACTCATTTTTAGCCCTTTCTATGCTAATTAGCTAAAAACCAGTCCAAAGAAAAGGAATAATTGGTGAAAAATGCAGTTTTTTCACTACTTGCTGGCCGTCACCAAAGGGTTAATAAAGTTACTGATCTTTTATAGTTGGGCTCCTAGAAATGCGGCTCGAACTCCTAACTTTTTATTTTAGCAGCTCAAAGGGCTCCCAAAAATTTTTCTTAGACAGCAGCCTTGTATGATGTCTTAAGTAGGAGGTGGTCAAGCCAATTTTGGGTGAAAATACATATTTGTTCAACTTGTTTCAACACTAAAAGTAAATCTTGTGGCTTAAATCATGCAAAGCACAAAAAAGTACCATTTTTTATTTTCTTATGGTGCATGTATTAACCTGAGTGATTTCTAATTCTTGGTAAAATCCAAGATGGCAGCCGAGATGGCGACCATTGTTGGTGACATCACAGGACTCCAGCAGTGCCACCACCCCTAAAATGTACCTCAGCTTGTTAAGAAGATCAAAGGCTTTCCACTAAAAGTAAAATCGTTTCAAAATACTGCAACACATAAAAAACTCTGGGGAGGAGAGGTTCCATCCCCCCCCGTACCACAGTGGGGGGTATGGTGAATGTAAGGACAAGTCATAGTGTTACAGTAGATGCTGTAAATTAAACTTGTGGTTTGCAGTTTGGTTTCAAATACATGATAATTAAAGAATATTCATAACTGACAATTGCCATTTTTTTCTTCTTGGCTTTTCAGATCACGTAGAAATACTTTAATTGCTATCGCATTATTTACTGTATTTTTTATATGGATCCTGTCAAGATTTATGCCTCACCATAGGCCTGGACAGCTGCCTGATTCTCCTGGTAAATAGCAAGAGCTAGATCCATTTTGTATTATTATTATTGTTGCTTAAAATATCCATAATGTTTACTTGGGATGTTTTGGTGTGATTCCCCTCCCCTTGGAAATTCTAGTTTAGCTTCATACTTTCCTTAAATATTATTGGCCATCAAAACCTCTCTCCTCTGTTGAAATTCCAAAGCCCCATCATGGCACAGGTTGGTTTTTTTGTACTACACATTTCAAATATTATTGTGATAGGAAAACGAAACCATAAAAGGGGCTGTGAGTTGTAACAAACAAAGACAGGTAAACTCTAGCTCTCTTCGTCACCAGAAGTCTTCCAATATAGGGGGTAAAGAGGTTAAGTTTGATATCAAAAAGATCTTTTGGTAACTTAATAAGATCTTGCATAACTAAAACAATAAAACTTTATTAAAAACATTATCCCATAAGACATCACAGTATACAACCATTTGTGATTTCTGCCCCACTAATGTCAGTGCTCAACTCATGTTTACTTGTTCTGGAGCCAAACTGCTGATCTTAATAAATTAAAAGATACATGTAGTTTTGCTCTCAGCCAGTGAATTACGATTCTATACTACACTGTCCTTTTGCTTTTTCTCGGATAGCTTCAGGGCTAGTTCAGTGAGAAATCATTCGTCTTCTCTGCCATTTCCTCCTTATGGTGAGAACACAAGAGAGCTGAAGGAGCCATGTGGACTTCAATAATTTGCTGGTTGTAGCTAGTGTCACTTTTATTCCTTGCTTGAGAAAGTCATGTCAAATTCTGGTTTAGGTGGCTCTTTGTGAAAGGGTTAAAAACCGTGACATTGAAAAATGCACATTGTCCCCTTTGCCAAAAAACTGCCTCACTGATATCCAAATGAGCTTCATCATAGGAGTTGGCACTGCTGGTTAAACCTTCTCCTGTCAAGGTCTGAAGCTTTGGCTCAACCTCAACTTCATGGCATATGTCCTTGAGAAAGGCTGCAAAGACAGTAGTCTTGCACTTCATAATGCCTCCTATGGACAAATCCACCTTTCATAGAGGACATTGCGTGATCAACCTTGAAGGACATGTAGATGGGAGGTACATCAGCGTCCAGCAATACCTAAGGCTGAGGGTATTGGAGAATTTCCTTTTGTTCAGGTCAAATTTTTCTTAATTGTTTACCAACCCTTCATCTTTGCCAGGTTGTTTGCCCTCAATTGCTCAGGACTCATTTTCTTCCATAGCTGCTGTAGGATGGTGTTATTCAGTTCTTCTCTGGTATTGGCAATCTTTCTCCTTGAGGTCTTGAGTTGTTCAGCTTAATAATTCACAATAGAAGGTTTTTTCGTAACACAGGCAGAGAGAAATTAGCAGCATTCTATACATCCTTTTAAAAACAAACTCCTGTCAAATGTTGTAATCTAAACTAGTTATCACATTTTACCGCATCTTAATAGGGCAGCAGGGCCCAGATTTCTTATAAGATTTCTTAAAAGGTACATGTAAAATTGAAGCTTTTCCTCCCCTTCCCCTTCCAAAACTTTTCTGTTGCTGCTGTTGTCACTTATTGTAGAGACCTTACTTCCTGCATTTTTTAGCATATGATAAGGTGTGCTTAAGTGATGTTCTGTCAAAATGGAAACAAGGAGTTGCAGATGATGATGTGATGACCACTCACAATCCCCTGGAAAAACTGGAAAGTCCGTTTTTGGCTTTTGTAGGTAAGCTAATATGTAAAACACATGTATCTGCTCCTATGGATGCTATGATGGAAAGCACTGTATAATCTATGATGTGTTTACTGCAATAGGAATGTTTCTAGAGGACAACTACATTTGTTGTACAGAAATAACATGTAAAAACTGAAGGCATATGTACAAGCATAAAATTGCACATCCAACTGGCAAAGTTTTTATGTTCTGACAAAATATCATCAGGTCATCAAGCAAACCATCTGCATCCACAGAAAGTAGTTTCACTGTAGTGGCTATAGGTTTGCCAAAATGAGCAATTTTATTGCTATTGAAGAAGTGTACATGAAGGCCCAAATAAATCTGAATTTTATTTGAACTGATATTTCACTATCATTTCCCACTCAAAATTCACAATAGTCTGTGGCAATAGTGTACTTGAAGTTTTTTTACCTTTCATACAGGGAATGGAAATATTGGAGTAGTAGCAT